GATGGTCATGAATGTTTATGTATGATTGACATAAGTGATGCTCATGAATGTTTATGAATGATTGACATGAGTGATGCTCATGTATAATTTTAGAGTACTGGACATACTTTTGATCACCTGGTTGGTAATAATAACGGCAGGGTGCCGAATAATTTTGGAGTACTGGACGTACTTTTGATCACCTGGTTGGTGATAATAGCGGCAGGCTGCCGAATAATTTTGGAGTACTAGACGTACTTTTGATCACCTAGTGGGTGATAATAACGGCAGGCTGCCGAATAATTTTGGAGTACTAGATGTACTTTTTTTTTTTGTTATGCTATCTTCTTTACATATCAGTATAACTATACAATAATTGCTCCAGTTTGCAGAAGACAACTTAATAAAATATTCATCAATGGGTGTGCCATGCTTTCCACTTCCTTGGCTTTTCTCCATCTCCAGACATCTTTTCCTTTTTCATTATTTTCCTTCCTTTTTCTATTTTTGCTTTCTGCTTTCGCTTTACTGATGGTCGATGCCCATGGAATCTGAGGAGACTGCATTGGATGCTTGTAATGATCTCCCGCACTTGCATTTCCAGCTCATTGGCTTTCTATTTTTGTTTTCTACTTTTTCTTTCTCAGAAAATGGGAACATGCATGATGAAAGTGTGGGCATCTTCTTTGGTGGTAGATAAAAGTAAAAGTAGCTTCAAGTGGTTTGAACGGCAGCAGAAGCACCACGACTTGTCGACGGACGGCTTTTGTTGTTTGGGAAGGCATTCAGGATTGGGAAACCTGAGATTCTGGGCATGAAGCATCTGGCGTTGAGTCATCAGCATGTTTTTCTCCTATGGCATGGAGATGGGCACTTGCGGTTCCTACATCGCAGCTTTCTTCCACAAATCTCTAAGCACGGTGGGCAGTCCCCATCACAACACCTGCGCTTACAAGCATGCCACCTACAGTCCCTTAGTCTCTGGCACTTCCTTTCGCATGCTAAATCTTGATGGCAATGAACCTCCTTTTTTAAGCTCCCGCACCAGCAATACTTAATGACAACTATTCTGCAAGTCTCAATGCACTCCCCACGATGACACCTCTCTGGGCGCCTATGGTAGCCACAACTGAACATCTTATCACAAGTTGAACCACACAAAGGCACAGAGGCTTTGCAAGATAATCCCTCATGCATTCTCTTTCCACAGGGGCATGTCCTGTTCCAAGCGTCTGTATATAGGGAGTTAAAAGCGAAAGCTGCAACGCCCAACCGAATTATACGCAGGCAGCGACCGTACAGCTCAGAATAAGCGTTAAAAAAGTATTGTGTTTGTGTCTGAGTTGACCCGACGGCGAAAGGCCGAGGCCGCCGTCGCCCCCATTTGGAACCCTAAAGGAGGAAGACGTAGACGAATTGAGGTTGATACGATGATGAGGCTCATCCGTCACCATCATTTCCACTTTCACCTCTCTCTTCAAGTTCTTGTACGGCACCCGGATAAACTCCGAGTCCGTCCTCCCCGCCATGGCGACTCAGTTTCACTCACTAAGTAACGGCTGCGAGCCAGAAGCTTAATTTCTCGCGCATTAAATGGCAAACGGTGCCGATCAATATTTTTACATGTAGATCGAATTCCGGCGTCAGAACTGCGAAGGATCAGAGATTTGCAGGTGGGTCAAAGCTTTTAAAAAGAACAACGATTTAGTATTTCTGAAACAATCTCAAAAGCTCCCAAGAAGCATAAAGTTTGAAACTTTCAGAGAATTTGGGTATTTTTGGAGATGGGTTTTTTGGTTTGCCTGAGGTGGTGTTCTCATTGTTGCAGAGAGAGCAGAGAGAACGGACGAGAAGGAAAGCAAAGAGGTGACTTCAACGTGGGTCAGTGAGAGGAAAGAGAGATGGGACTGGTTGATGGCTTTTTTTTGTGATTTTGCATATTCACGATAGAGGTGAAAAAATGAAAGAGAACCAACACAACTTTTAGTATCGTTTCCCACAGACGGCGCCAAATATTGATGCACAAAACCGGATGGGTCTTGGAACAACGTAAATCCGACCGTGAATTTGCAAGAAAGTAAAGAACACAAGATGTATCGTGGTTCACCCCAATGTTTGGGCTACGTCCACACTGATGTTGATATTGTTTCACTCTGAATGGTGAATATACAAGAATGCTAGAGGCAGTGTGCTTTCTAGCCTATTTTCTGTGTGCTCTCTTCCCATGGCCTAAAACTTGGCCTCCTTAATGAGGAGAATGAGGAGTCCTTTTATAGAATAAGGGCTCCTCACTTATTATATATTTACCCCTTCATTTATTACATAATTACATTTGAGTTCCCCGAGTATTTATACGAGATCTAAATATGGAGGCCCTAAGTATGGTACAAACAAAAAACAATTAAAACTAAGGTTGTTTAGTCATGGTACTATACAAAAATATATGGACAAAATTGATTAACTAAACAACTTTAGTTTTAATTTATTTACGGAGATGATCTTTAAAGAGTATTATAATACTAGAACATTAAAAAGGGGATCCTATTAACTTGTTCTGACCTAGGATAATAAGTTGAGCTTATGAATAGTCGTAACATTCAATGCTACGTAACACCGAAGTCAGACCCATGTTACTTGATCAAGGTCCTCATTTTTAGGGGTTTAGTTGTTTATTGAGATGCCAATACTATGGCAAGTGGATAAATTATGTTTAAGTGCAATTGCAACCTCATACATCATCTTCAAATTTAATGAATTAAGTAACAATTGTGTGATATTGAAATACAATAATATGTAATGTATGAGATTAAAATGTTTAAATATATTGAATGAGGTTACAATTCTACCAAGATTTTTGAGGTTGTAAAATGTAATTGACACTTCTTTAGATTATGGTATATTATGAATTTATTCTCCGAATGATAGTGGGGATTCGCCCTTAACTGGGTATATGTAGGCTTTCTTTGGCAGGTTCGATTAGATAGGATAAGTTAGAATAAAAATAGACATGAATGTTGTCCTTTGTTTGGTGAGATTAAGTGTATCATGGATCGAAAAGACATTAAGGGGGCGTTTGTTTGGCCTCCTTAAGTTTCACTGGACTGGACTGGATTAGACATTAGTGTAGGCCTATGTTTGTTCTAGGCAGGATTAAGTTTAATGGGGCAAAGGAGGACTTACCTTGACTAAGTCCCTCACCAGGAGGTCTTAGCGAGACCCCCCCCAAAACAACGGGATTTCTAGTCCCCTCTCCATCGTCTACAAGCAGCGAACCCAGTCCTTCTCCTTCGTACATGAGCAGCAGCTGCAACCCCCTTCTCTAGTGACCATAGCAGAGACAACTCTCGTCGATCTCCACCATCCCGCAAACCCAGCGTCGATTTGGGGCCTTCCGCCATCTGGGTTGACCCGAACACGGCAAAAACGGGTTTTTTGCTATCTCAGACTACATGCACAGCAGCCACAGTAGTTGCAACTCAATCATCAGCCACAGCAACTGCAACTCGATCATTAACCACAACCATAATAAAAGACCTGTCTTTTGCAAAAAACCTCCGAGGAAGATCCTACTATGGCTGCAGTCGATTGAAATTGAATTTGAATTTTTGATTGTTTGTGTTTTGGGAGCTTTATAATGGAGGAGAAAGATATGGTTGCAAGTAGTGGAATTTGGACAGAGAACTTTATCAATTGGAATGAAGGAAAAGTTGTGATTGTAATGTATGGAGTTTGGACGGAAAAAATGAGAGGGAAGAGTGGTTTCAGGGGTGTTCTAGAACAGGAAAAAGAAATAGAAAAATAAAAAAAAGAATTATTTTTATTATTTTTATTATCCTACTTCTTAGTTCGACACTGCATCAAACGCTTCACTAAGTTAGTCATGCTTAGTCTAGTCCAAGCCAATCCAGCTTAGTCCCTGAAGCTAGTCCAGTTCGAGATAGTCTGGTGCAACAAACGCATCCTAAATCGATAACCCATAATAAGTGGGATTATGAAACCCAACTTTAAACATGAGTTCAAGCCAATCCAAGCCAGCCAATACCCAAATCTCAATCCAAGCCAATCCAAACCAACCCACAAAATACTATTAAATTTCTCAATTAATAAATTGTTGACTCTTATCAAAGACACAATAAACAACAAAGTTGCTGGTAAGGTTTGAATATTTCCTATTTCTTTAAATAAACTCGATAATAATTTGATTCGATCCAAATTTGACTCTCACATATATCAATTAACAAGTTAAATTCAATAATTTGACTACACGCCAACCAGGTTGGTTCAGTTAGCAAGGTCTCCGCTTTGTGTGTCATCCCATCAAGGTATGAGTCTTGCTGTTAACAGTCTTCGTTGGTGCATGATTTATAAATTCCTACGTAAATTTAGCTGACAGTTAGGTGTTAGGTGTTACGCGTAAGTTCTCTCGGCTCGAGGTTATGAGTATGTCATGACGCTAATGATGAGAATAACCAATCTCCCTTAAACTTCCGTAAAAAAATTATAAAAAAAAAATCTAATATTCAAATTTATATTCAATAATCTGATTAATAAACAAAATGATTATGAAGGCTGATCTGATCCAAATCTGGTCCGTTTACAAGTCTAATCTTGTATTTTGGGTCATTTACTACAATGGTAGAAATGAGTTGTGCCTTTGCATTATGACGTGGGTTTGAACCCCTTCCCAATCTAACATCTAACCACTAATGCTATCGTCTTATAAAAATTTAAAAAATTTAAAAAATAATATAAAAAAACTAACGTTTGTCGACAAACGTGTTCTAACGGCACCTCATCCGAACTTGCATGGATGGCGCTCAATTTCAAACTCGAAGCTTCTACTCTGCCGCCTTATTCCAACACGTCTCTCTCTACGTCTGCCATTTTGAATTGAATTGAATCGAATGGAAACTGAAGATTTCTTCATTTTGGTAAATAAAATTGAAGATTTAATACCGAAACCAGGAGATTTCTATGTTTTGATTTTCTCTTGTGAATTTAATTTCTCTGTAAAACAAAAAAATGCCACCCCTAAGTTTGAAGCTTCACAGCTTGTTCTTCAAGTACCATCTCAGACACCAATTACACAACCTAACCCAATCAGCGCAACTCCAAAACACAGACCCGAAATTTGGCATCACTTCCCGCCCCGAAGAGCCCGTCGTTCCCGCCAACCCCACTTTCCAAAACGGCGTCGCCACCAAAAACATACACATCGACCCCAACTCCTCCCTCTCCCTCCGCATCTTCTTACCTGACACCGTCCTCCCCCTCAAAGCACCAAATCCCACGTCTCGTGTCGGCGCCCTGTTGTCTCCCTCCCCTGTCTGCTCTAACTCCGACGATGGTGTCGTGTACAGGGGATATTCTCCCGATCAGTTAGTGGGGAGGCGACACCGGAAGGTTCCGATATTTTTGCAGTTTCACGGAGGTGGGTTTGTGAGCGGGAGCAACGACACGTCGTGGAACGACGCGTTCTGCAGGAGGATGGCGAAGCTGTGTGACGCGATCGTGGTGGCGGTGGGGTATAGGCTGGCGCCGGAGAGTCCATACCCAGCGGCGTTTGAGGACGGGGTTACGGTGTTGAAGTGGGTAGCAAAGCAGGCCAACTTGGCCTTGGTTCAAAAGGGACGGAGTCGTATCTTTGACAGCTTTGGGTCTTCGATGGTTGAGCCATGGTTGGCTGCTCATGGAGATCCATCTAGGTACTTACTGCCTATCAGCCATATCCGGATTGTTTAATTAGTATAATTAGTGTTGGTATATCATATATGCACAAATGGACCCTGTACAAAACTTTCATTGAAATAGATAAATTATGGTTTAGTGCTCCTTTATTATTGTTTAGTATATTCTATTTTTTATTATTAAGTTGATGGATGGATAAAATTGGAACAATCACAGAAGGTTCGCAAAAGTTTATGCAGTTCACTCAACAAAATTCAAATCGTGGGGTATTTAGATCGTATACATAGAACTAGTGACACTAAAATAACAATGCGATTTATATAGATTAGGGTTTAATGTCTTTTATTATTTAGTTAATTTATGTTTATGCTTTTTAATTAAAATTTGTAACATGTTCTATTTGTGCATAGTTTTTGTGTGTATATTCTTGGATTTTGAACTAACCAGTTGGGTTCCCAAAATTTAAAGTACATGGATTTGCTTAATGATTAGTGTTTTGATTATGTTCAGCCCTTTTTAGTTTGTACACCTTTTGTTTAAATTCAGTAACTAATGAACATTAACATGTTATTTTCTTATCAGAACAGATGTGTACTTCTTGGAGTGAGCTGTGGAGCTAACTTGGCAGACTATGTCGCTCGGAAGGCTGTGGAGGCAGGCGACCTCTTGGACCCGATAAAGGTGGTAGCACAAGTACTAATGTACCCCTTTTTCATTGGAAGCACTCCCACCAGGTCTGAGATTAAGCTAGCCAACTCCTACTTATTCGACAAGGCTACGTGTATGCTAGCATGGAAGCTATTTCAAACAGAGGAAGAGTTTGATTTAGACCATCCCGCCGGCAACCCCCTCATGCCTGCAGGGAGAGGGCCACCCTTAAAGACCATGCCTCCGACACTTACAGTTGTCGCGCAGCATGATTGGATGCGCGATCGTGGCATTGCTTACTCCGAAGAATTGAGGAAGGCTAATGTGGATGCACCTCTTTTAGATTACAAGGATACTGTGCACGAGTTTGCTACTCTTGATGTGCTCCTTGAGACGCCCCAGGCCAAGGCTTGTGCAGAGGATATCACTATATGGGTCAAGAAGTATATATCACTCAGAGGCCATGAGTTTTCTTATTGATTGTGAATATGTGATAAGTTCCGAAGTTGTTCAAATTGAAGCACATATGAACATGCATTTGAACAGCTTCGGGACAACGAAAGTGAACATTTTTGTGTACAAAATCATGTCAGTTCAAATTTTTTTACATAGTTTTCATCAGATTAGTTTTGAGATATCTGATCCTTATTGAGCTGTGCATTGCACCCTGCAAACATATTTTGTTTTGTTCTTTTGGAGTTGTTGGCCGCAGTCCATTTAGCTCCAAGATTGTCTCCATACCGGTGGTATATCCTATACATGTTCTCTTGCTCTTATGCATTTTAGAGCCTGGATAAATTAATTGTCCATGACAGCATCACCTACGCAGGTCGGCTATAAGCTTAATTGATTAACAGAATTTACCCCTGCTAAAGCGCTAACTATTCCAGGCCATATGTGTTATTTTAAACCATGTCAGGATCCGGCGGACTTAGTAAAAGGAAGAGGCGAAAAGAATAAGTTTTATAACCGAAAGTAGCATTGGAGAATTCTGTATTTGGGGAAAATTACAGTCACATATGGATAAACCTCCAAAGCTGTGGGCATAGACAAGATAGAAAGCTCCCAAATCTTGGGGAGATCCTTGAAAATGATGGCAATAATGTTTGTTCCTTAATTAGTGATTGGTCTATGCATACGTTGCCCTATGCCTGATGGAATTAGTAAAGCCTGTTTTATTTGTTTTGATACAATCGATAATCGGGGAGAAAGGAGTCGAACTTGGGACATCAGGTGCAAGACTCAATACCTTTTAGTTTACCATTTAAGTTACAAATCTCTTGCAGTAAGACTACTTTATTAATTTTTACTCACTTTTGTAGACTCATTTTAAATTCTTGGTAACATTGTAATCGTCGTCAGTACAAGAAGGAAGCCTCAACCTACACATCACATATATCACACATTGTATATATATCCCCGCAAGGAGACTCAATTGGTCAAGCTTCTAATACATTAGAAAGCTACACGATGGCATCTGATCTCTATGTGCAACCTGAGTTTTGTGGTGAGATTACATCTAACGAGGTGATTGGCTTTGATCTCAATCTGTCATCCATGTCATGCCTTCCCCACCCTTCTCTTTCGGCTTTGGAGGACGATTCGGCAAACTGGGTGAGTCCATTCGTCGACAAAACAAGAAATCATAAGAGGCTAAAACAGGAACATGATGCCAATTATGGATTCAAAGTGGGTACTAATTACTCTAGTTTTTACACTGGCAGTGACAGCAATATGTGTACTAGTGGCTTCACTAGCTTGCCAACAATCCAATTCCGTGATCACATATCCGCACACAAGCGGAGATATTTGGCTGCAGAGGCCATGGAAGAAGCCTTTGCAACCTTAATGAGAGACAAAGAAGATGAATCCGAGGAAGGAGGAGGAAGTGAAGATGAAATAAAACTAGTCCAACAACTTATCGCTTGTGCCGAGGCTGTGGCTTGTCGTGACAAAGCTCATGCCTCAGCATTGCTTTTTGAGCTGAGAGCTAATGCGCAGGCCTTCGGGACATCATTCCAGCGAGTATCTTCCTGCTTTGTCCAAGGCCTTGCCAACCGCCTTGCGCTAGTTCAACCACTAGGGGCTGGAGGAGTAATAGACCCGAACGTGAAATCAAAGCCTTTTTCAGCAGAGAAAGGACCTTTTTCAGCAGAGAAGGACGAGGCTTTACACCTTGTTTATGAAATCTGCCCACAGATCCAATTTGGTCATTTCGTAGCGAATGCATCAATATTGGAAGCCTTTGAGGGAGGAAGCTCAGTCCATGTCATAGACTTAGGCATGACCCTAGGCCTCCAGCACGGGTACCAATGGCGCGACTTAATAGACCGTCTAGCAAACCGTCCAGGACAACCCTTGCACTGCCTTCGCATTACAGGAGTTGGTAGCTCTTCCGAACGCCTTCAAGCAATCGGCGACGATCTCAAGCTGCATGCTCAAAGCATGAAAATAAATTTGGACTTTTCAGAAGTGGAGAGCAACTTGGAGAACCTTAAGCCTCAAGATTTCCATTTGGTTGATGGGGAGATTTTGATCATCAATAGCATTCTTCAACTTCATTGCTTGGTGAAAGAGAGCAGAGGGACATTGAACTCAGCTTTACAAACACTACACGAGCTGTCACCAAAGCTTATGGTTTTGGTTGAGCAGGACACAAGCCACAACGGGCCTTTCTTTCTAGGGAGGTTCATGGAGGCACTGCATAACTACTCCGCCATCTTTGACTCCTTAGACGCAATGCTGCCCAAGTACGACACGAGGAGGGTAAAAATGGAGCAGTTTTATTTTGGGGAGGAGATTAAGAACATCGTAAGCTGCGAGGGACCAGCCAGGGTGGAGAGACACGAAAGGGTTGATCAATGGCGCCGTAGGATGAGGCGTGCGGGGTTCCAACCGGCGCCTTTGAGGACGATGGCACAGGCCGTGAAATGGCTAGAAACTAATGCTTGTGAGGGTTACACGGTTGTTGAAGACAAGGGTTGCTTGGTTCTTGGATGGAAATCAAAACCTATCATTGCAACTTCTTGCTGGAAATGATGTTATCTGCTCCAACAAACTGTGCTGCAGCTGCCGAAGCTATGGCTATGCTGCGTGGTTGTAAGCTGGGTGCAACTTTGGGTTTTTCTGAGGTTATTCTGGAATCTGACTCTTCCAAGGCGATTTCTTGCCTTTCAAATTCTTCTGAGAATGGCAGTTGGGAGGCTGTTCCTACTTTAGCAAGAGTGAAGTTCTTGGGGGAAGCCTTCCAGAACTGTTTCTGGTCTTGGGTCCCAAGATCAGCCAATATGGCGGCTGATGCTCTTTCGTCGCGTGACTGTGCGGAGATGTGTGATGTTGTTTGGGTCGATAGGCCTCCATCTTCGCTTGTTTTTGTGTTAAACAATGATGTTCTTCCTTGTCCACGTTAGCTGTAGGTGGTAGTGTGGGGGGTGACGCCTCAGCTTAGCTGAAGCGTCTCTGTCTGTAACTCCTTGCACTGCCCTCCTACTTTATCTTGCTGTTTGTTTGCCTCCTCGTAGGCTCTCTTGTTTCTTCTTTGGCCTCTATGTCCTGGAATGCACTTTCCTTGCTCCCAAAAAAAAAAACCTTGCCTAACAACAGAAGGATAACCTTTTTGAAATTTATCATGTTACTGTCAGATTCTCTAAATACTTGTTGTGGAATTAATCATGTCTATCTTACAGCAAAAAGTTCTTTTTTCTTTCAAAGTAAGAGTGATTTTATTTTATTTTATTTTATTTTTTTAGGAAAAGGGGCTAATTCTAAATTTCTAATAGCCTAAACATAACTATTCATCACCGTGTAACAGTACGGTCTAATAAAGCAACGCTATGTGATAAAAAATTTATTACAAAACTCCATTTTAATCCTTGGTAAAGATGATTTTTAGATTAAAAACATGAGTAAGATCAAAATCTAATTTTAGTCTCTAGATGCATTAATAACCTAATTTATTAATTACATTTTGATTTTTTAATTATTTCTCTTGTTCTTCCTAATTTTAATGTATTAATTTTATTTCATTATAATTTTCATTCTCATTTTATTTATCGTAATATATTTTGTTGTAAACATTTAGATAAACTAATTTTTGTTATACAATAAATTTCGATGTACTTTGTCTTCTTTATTTAGGTATATTAAATTCATTATAATACATTTCAGTGCATACATTTATGTACATACATTTCGATACAAACATTTAGGTACATTCAATATAATACATTTCGGTGCATACATTTCAGTACACACATTTAGGTATATTAATTTAATATAATACATTTCGGTGCATATATTTTAGTACATACATTTCGGTACTAACATTTAAATACATTAGTTCAATATAATACATTTCGGTACTAACATTTAAGTACATTAATTGAGTCTTTCAAATTTGAAGAATGTTAAATAAAATTAATAAATTAAAAAAAAACTTTTTTTGGTCAAAAGTTTAAATTAAAATTTGTTTATTAATAAATTTAAATAAAATGCACATTGATTATTTTGAATTAAAGATACATCAAGGAACTATAGTCAATATGTAATTTATTTTAAATTTTAACTTTCTTGAATGATAAAGGTTAAAAAATATAATATTATATTATTGAACATAAACGCCACGTACCAATGAAGTCATTTATTATAAGTGTGAGATGAATGTTTGAGGCTATGACGCAAACACATGTATTCAATGGACCATCGTGGCAAAATAAACGGCCAACAATACATAGCCATCAGCAGCTCCATCGTGATCTGCCACGTGTATGGCTGGCGAGTAACAGTTCCCATTCCAAGCTGCTCTCTGGTCTCTCTAGACCTCACCAAAAATTCCATTCCCTCGGACAAAATAACGACGTGTGGATAAGAGTCCCTCCTCGGATAGTCCCAACGCCGACGGCTTCCTTTTCTCGCTCACACACACTGAGAAATCCAGGACTCTGCAAAAACCCAAGTGAAAAATGGAGGTGGGTTTGTCTCTAAACGCAGCGGTTCGGCTTCCATTGTCGAGCTCGAGGACCCACGAAGATGGTCTGGTCAGGCACTCATTGGTTTCCACAAAGACGACGACCCAGAAAGCGGCTGAGCAAAGGCAGGTCCGCCGCGCGCTGGTGGTTGAATCAAAGGGCAAAAGGGGAATGATGGCCCGCCAGTTTCAACCCAAGAGGCCTCCGCCTCCTGCCATGCCCAAGATTGAAGACGACGGCAACCCTCGCTTCGTCGTCTTTATCCGAATGGCCAATGTTTGTTCTCTCCCCCCCCCCTGTCTCCCCCTGGCTCTCTCTCCTCTGTTTCTTTTAATTCACTTGTTTGTTGCTTGGACAGGTTTACCTATGGTACCCACTTAGTGTGATATCAGGTGGTACAACGGCTAAAATCATGATTGCCGCAAAAGATAACTTTCTGGGGAAATATATATACAAAGATACACTTGCTAGAAATCTTGCTGCAGTTATTTACAGAGTGAGTTTTGTTCTTTGTTATTGAATTAGTTGCATATAATTTGTTACTTGCTCAATCAAAATTTACATTGTCCTTTCAAAAAAAAAAAAAAAAAAAATCAAAATTTACATTGTCCATGCTTGTTGCGGCTTATTAAACAAGCTGTTTTTGTGTTCATGTCAAGAGAGTCCAACATTTCTGTGTCCATACAGATTACAGACAAGCTCGGATGCTTCTCTGTAATCTGTATAGACACAGAAATGTTAATTAATTGCGGTTTAGGTATATGTTTATTAATCGAGGGTTAGGGACATGTTGATTAATCCTTGTGGCGGAGATGGTCCAACATTGTTGATTAATTGCGGGTTAGGGACATGATCTGCTTTTTTAGTAACCAAATGCGAATTGTATGGTGGTTAAACATTTTTCAAGCAGCTTTATTCTCTCGTTGCTTGATGTTCTGCTTTTACGTTTAGTAACCAAATGCGTTTTGTATGGTGATTAAACATTTTTCGCAAGCGGCTTCATATTCTCAATTGTATAAATTCTTGTTTCGTTTTTATTTCAACAGGATGAGAAGGAAATACAGAAGACAGCATTTAAGCAGTACCGAGTGTTGCGGTCAGCTACTGATTTTAGATATGGCTACAAAATTGTCGTAATGCTCTTATAACCTCTACATTAAGTAAAAGTTCATTTGTAGATGATTTTATTCTTTTCTCACCACTAAAATGCTTAAAACTGTTCAGTGCCTAAGTCTGTTCTGTGGCAATCGTGTAGGAAAACGGTAATATGAGAGCAGCACTTTCTACCTCGGATGTAATTGAGGTAATTCGCCTACTCCATCATCTTTGTCATGAGATTGTAAGGTATTACCGTATTAGACATTCAGCCGGTCACAAGCTTCATGGCCTGAACTAGAGGGTTTCGTTTCTTCTGGTAGGAAATTTGGTGGTATCTAGACACTACAGTTGAAATCAAATCTTCTGTTCCATCAGCTTGTTTGATTACCTTTTGCTTTAATATCGTCTGCGATTCTGAACTCAATTTTCAGCTACCAACAAAAGACAAGCTCAAAACCACATTTGACAAAGTGAAGGATTTTTTTGGAGATGCAAAAGAATCGTTTGGCAAGCTGACGACGCTAAACTTATCCGAGTCTCAAGAATCAGAAGGAAAAACCGAAGAACAGGGAAAGTGAGTCATATGCACACGATACATTTGATAAGTTTTTGGTTTCTCAACTGTAGTTGTCGAAAGGCTTTCTTGTTATTGTCAGGCAACATTCGAACCTAAGGCTTCCCGCATCAGTCCCATTCCCCCTCACGTAGCGAAAACAACGATTACCTATCACCTTACATGCCTAATTAATGGTTCCTTCCAACAGGGTAAAGAGCTGAAGATGGCAGAGGCATTTGCTTGATATGGTGCAGAGGCCACAGACTCTGTGAGAGTTAATGCTTACTCCGCTGCATGCTCCTTTCACGAAAGGTCGTTTAGGATTCTACAGAGAGTTAATGCTTACTCGCAACAAGTTGGATCTTTGGAAATTCGCGCTTATACACGTAAAAGAACCTAATTGCGGGCTAAAACGCATATTAAGATGCAAGTGGTAGATTGCTAGTGTCTTCCTCTTTAATTTACTTTGAGTTCAAACTCTCCATTTTCCTTAATGTAGTTTAGTACATAGTATTGTTTGTAATAAAGGAGCACTTAAATGTTAAAATGTGTTGTGCGGAAGCGTCAAATATGAAACCAATAAGCAACAACAGCAAAATATGATAAGACAAATAATCCAAATGACACAAGGATTTATACTGGTTCGGCGTAAGCCTACGTCCAGTTCCGAGACGGCGAGGAAATTCCACTAATATCAAAAGGAGAAAATAGAGTTTTAACTCTCAAACCCAAATGTCACATACAATCAATAGCTCTCACTCAAACTAAGAAACAAATGGAGAAGAAGAAACACATATCAAAATCCTTCTCTCCCAAAAGCTACATAAGTAGCACCAACATCTTTGATTGAGTGATTACTAACAAAATGGGATTATTACAAATGGTGGGAAGGAGCAGCTCATATTCAAACGGGAAAGCCGAATGCTCTCCCTGGTTTCTCTCATCTGCCGCTCCCCCCACTTCCAAAGGCATAACCAAATGCCTTAATATAAACAAAAGGCCCCGCCTTCTCTCTCTCCTCTTCTCTCTTTTGGCTACACTCATCACACAAGGCCACATATTCTTTGCCTTTGTAAAAGCCACAAATCAAGGGCTAGACATCATAATGATGTCCCCCTTTTCCTTATTCTATTTTATTAGCCGAAAGGTATTTTGGCTTGTTGTCCACTTGGTCACAAATCCAACAAAATGATCCTTGTGTTTTAGCCTTCCGACCAACTGGTCCCTGTGTTTTCAATTCTGTCAATTTAAACCCTGTGTTTAACTCGGTTAGTCAATGTGCTCCTTTTTCCATCCAATTACCATAAAACGTTACAAACATGTTTCAAATTGATAAAAATAAAAAAAAATAAAAAAAATCAAAGAAAGAATAAAATTAAGAAAATCAAAGCAACCACCATGGATAGCCCCATAACCACCCATCCTATCTCTCCCTGAAAAAATTTGACCCCCACGGTCTCCCGACCTGCCATCGAATTCTGCGTCATTTCTCTAAAGATACATCGATGTTTGTTGCTCTCCACTCCCATGCACCAGTGTTAATCCCATACGACCCTAATTTGAGTCATCTCCGCGTCCACCACCTTCGTAGCATCGATCTACACCCCTTCTCCTCCTGTGGATCTCCCTCCCCCACTGCACGTTCGTGGTTGGAGATGTTGCCTTGAGTTTTTAATCTGAACTTTTGTTTTACTTTATTTTTTAGTTTTACATTGAGTTTTCATATTCCTTAAATAAACAGGCTTTTTAATAATTTAAAATGAAATATTTAACAGTAAATTAACGGAATTGATCAAATTGGGTAACGGTTTAAAACATAAGGACTAAATCAACCAGATTGAAAACACGAGGACTAAATTAATCAAACGTGTAAACACAAGGATTATTTTGACATTTTAGCCTACAAAAAAATTTAAAAAAAAAATTCAATTTTCAAACTTGAGCTTTTGCTTGTTATAAAACATTGTCAATTTTGAAACTTATGATGATGATGATGATCTTCTTTCCTCACATCAAGTACTGTAACAACCTCCTCTGGCATCGGGACAAGTGGACAACAGTTTTTTCATGACCTAGCGGTGAAAGGATAGGTGAAACCATTTCTAAAGGTTCTCCCTTTTAGGTCAATTTCTTTGCTTTGCTGCTCTTATAATTTCCGAATATTGATGATTTTTTAAGTACATACGATTTCTCCAGTTGCATCTAGTTTTATTATGTAGAATTAGTTTTCTGGATTTTAATTTGGTTTCAGATTCCATGGTTGTAAAATGAACAAAACGCGTCGCAGAACTTCAGAGTCTTCCAATACAAGTTGTGAGAACCCAACTAGTGTGTTTGTCCATGGCCTTTACTTGGTTGCAGCTGAGCATGGTACGTTTATGTATCACAATTTCTCAAACGTAAAGCTTTCGCTTATCTGCCCCCATTTTTCAAAGCCATTCTTTTCTTGGTGAAAGTGCTGAAGAGGTGCCCGCAGATCCTGTGTCCGATCTCATAAAATTACTCAGAGGACAGCTGATAATTACCGTTCTTTGGACGAGGGTTTTGTTCTTCCCTGCTTTAACATATTCGTATATAAACAACGGTTTAGTATATCATGTTCGCATACAGCAACGGTTTAGTATCTCTTGTTTGTTCAGTGTCCCTTCACTCCTGTTTTTTACTAATAATTTATAACCAGTTCTATTTGCGAAATTTTCCCAACAGTGTTCATTCAATTCTGTTTTTATACTATAAATTTGTAACCTGTTCCGGTTAATTTCCCCAAACATTAATTGACAAAGAGCAGTGAGTGGACTGGTTCAGTCTTATCTTAGTTCTAAGAAATTCTTCGGTCACATGACATCATTTGAAGGAATGCAATATGCTTAGGCTTTGTTTCCGTCTTTGTTTCAGGTTCAAGAAGTTCGAGGTCATTTAACTGGAAAAGCATGCACTGTAAAATCATTTTGTGAATGACAATGATTATGCCGAGAATAATTGAGAGAATATTGACTTGGCAATCAAGTTAATGAAATCTCTAGGACTCTCGGTGCCTTAAGGAAATAAACATATTGGAGTCCTAATTACATGCAATCAATTAAGGGCCTTTATTAAGTAAATACAAGGAATAAGAGTCATGATGGGACTATAATTGATGAGATATGATTTGGGTTGATATCCTTTCCGATAATAGGGAGGAATTGATTGAAACCCTAGCTATATAACCTAGGAGCAGTCCCTGCTTCCATACCGATAGAAACTCACGGAAACTATAAGCCTATTTCGATAGTAGAGTTCATTGAGAGGTACTGGAAGTAGAAGACTACTTCTACTTTGTTCGTAAGGATCAATGGCTTCACCTTCATAACCATGTCTTCCGAATTCTACAGATAAATTCAATATAATTAGTCGATCTCTATTTCATATTGATTTGATTTATTCGTGATCCTAATGTCTTGTTGTTGTGATTTCAGAATATGTTTTACATGTGGTATCAGAGCCACACAACAAGCTTAGGGTTCGGATTAAAGGTAATTATTTGATATTGTTTTAGTTGGCTGATTTCTATCATTCTATCCTATGAAATCAGTTAACATGCTTCCACGATTCTGAATTCTGTATCAATTAAATTTTCGTAAGTTTATTATGTTTATATTTTACGGAAAAATAAAAGTATATATTTATATATATATATATAATCAAAGTCACTATTGTTCTAGTACTTCACCGTTAAAAGAAAACTTCTTTTCGAATTGCAATATGAAATGGTTTCTTTTCGAATTGCATGAATTTGTAAACTAAGTGCAGGTTTTGATGGCGTTTGACCAAACCTAATGTTGGATGATATTTGGATTTATTATATAATCCTCTTATTATCGATTTAGTTGCGATAATTCGATTTCATTATTATTAAAAATTTTAAAAAAAAATTAAAAAAAAAGGTGAGATAGGCCGTTGAAACAGTACGGGGTCTTCTCCCTTGCGTGTGAAGTCTTTAGCTCTCTTGCAAAACAGCTCAATAGCGGCTTTTGGATCTATTTGGTGTTTTCCGGTAAGAATTCTCTCCGAAAAGGTATGAAATCGTACAATTTAATCTACCTAATTTGGTTGAGTTAAAATTAAGCTTTTGGTTTCAACTAAATTGATCAAGATATTGTTGATTCTGGGCAATCAACCTTTATTTTCTTATTTATTTTTCCATCTCAAAATTGATTAAGTTGAGAATTTATGCTTCCGCTTATTACGTTGCAAAATCTAGCTTTAAAAAAAAAAATTTGCTTGTATTTTGGGCTGTTCTCTGTTACGATTATGTCAAATTATTAAATTAACCCTTTCAGATGTGAGTTTTCTGGATGAATATTGTATTGGATTTCATGCTTTCATGATTTAAAATTTGGATTTAGCCTTGTTAATTAACATGTTCTAAAAGGCATTCCCAATTTGTTTGTTTTCTGATGAACCGATAATGGTGAAACTATTTGGCAACTTACGTATATATGAACAAATTATTGTATTATGAAGGATTGCTTGCTGTCATAATTTTGATGTGTGGTTAATTACATTATTATGAATTGCTTTCAGACGGTTCGTATTAGGTTTTCAATTTTTTAATAAATTGATTCAATTGTGGTGTGAATTATTTATTGCCTAAACTTTTGTCAAAATTAATCGTGCTACATTATAGTGGTATGACTCCATTAAAGTCTCATTAAAAGGAAACCCATTCATTTCAATAACCTGGGCTTGATAGACTTCCATAACTCCAAATATTATGAAATTCGGTCATTTCGTAATATTAAATGGATTGTAGACGCTGGTATTTTTTCAAGTTTTTTGGACAAGAAATGGATGTATGGTAAATTTTTAAGTGTGATACTATGTTGCTGGAATTCTGCAGACTTCTGCAGAATAGTCTGTTTGTGATATTATTTTGATATATCAATGTAACTCATAAATTCTTGAGATTTTAGTATGATATACATTGAGATGTTTATTTGAAGTATGGAAATTTTCACCAGCATTGGTCTGAAAATGAGTTACTGGTGAATTTTTAATCTTGGGACTGTACTGCAGATTTACTCAGCTTCTGCAGCACATTTCATTTCGATTTTAATTTTAGCCCACTTTTAAGATTGCAAAAAGAATGGAACTTTGGGTGACAGTAAATTTATATGTCTACTTCATTTCTAAAAACTTTCATGCATATTGGAGAAAAATTAAATTTTTGGTGAATTATTTAGTCTCCGGTATGTACTGCAGAATTTTTGCCGTTTCTGCAGCATATCCCATTTATAATTTTCTTTTAGTACACTTGTAAAGTCTCAAAAATTATGAAATTTTGGGAAATAACAAATTTTTATGTTTACTTTATGTCTCAAAAGTTTGATGCATATCGGATGAACAATGAATATTTAGTGAATTTGTAATCTCAGGTATGTACTGAACATTTTCTGCTGTTTCTGCAGCACCTCTCTTTTCAAATTCATTTTTGGCTCGCTTATAAGATTTTAAAAATCATGAAATTTTGAAAAATAGTAGTCATATATGTCTAGTTCAGACTTGAAAATTTTCATGACAATCTAAAGAGAATTGAGTTTTTAGTGAATTTGCAAACTAAAGTAGTACTGCTGAATTTTGGTACTTCAAACTAGTTTTGTTATGTGATATTGTTTAACTGATTTGTGTACATCTATTGGTACCAATTATTGTACAAGTTTATGGTTCCAATATGTCCTTATTAATATGCAAAATTCTCAATACTAATGAATTTTATATAGACAACACTGATTGAATTTTGATTTAAAGATGTATTGGTTTGTTTTGCTTAAACCAATGTTTTGTTTGGTCATCAATTCTGATTATGATGATTGTCTTTTGAGAGAAAATTGGAAAGTGGCATCAGTTTACTAATTGATCATTTTGGTCGCTATCGAATAACTGAATAACCATATTTTCTCTTTCCAGAACTCTATTGCTCAATGGCAATAACGACATACTTTTGTGTCTGATTGAATCTTTTGAGAATCATTGAATATCCAACTAAACGGTTATTTAATACTATTCTAAAGGATTATTTTGAAAAGAAAAAAAAAATCAGAATTCTAATTTATATGGTGAATACTTTTGTCCCAATGGGAATTTTAGGAAATCACTCACCAATTATAAATTAGTATTATAGCAAATCATAAAGTCCTTCTAACGTATTTTCATCTGGCCAAAACTGTTGAAGCTATATGTATTTTGTGTATTTTATGTTTTAGCTAGCTATGCATGTATTTTCTTTGCATGATGAGTTTCTGCCCAAAGGTGTAACAATCATGCAATTTGAAGTTGGTTCGATCCACCACAACTCGACTACTTCCATGATGAATCTTGCATAATCAAAAATGAGTAGGTAAATTTGCCAATCTTTTGCCTTAATTTTCTGTGAGTTCTAAATTGGATTAAAATTATTGTTAAAAATTGATGTTGTTGAGATATCTATGTGTTTACTTTAATTCTACTTTGTTTTAGAATTAAAACATAAATTTTGAGTTTGGATTCTCTTATTAGGTTTCATTTTAATTTTTGATCTAATATTTAACACATATGTGGGTCTTCTCTCATACACTAAAATAAATTTTGTAGCCATTGGTTGATATAATCACTTGTCACTTTTAGATCGATTAATGGTGTTGAGATATTGTTCCTTATATAATCCTAATTTTGATACATATAGATTGGTTTATTATGTCCAAACCAACTATTTTGTGACTCAACAAATTTATTTAAGAATTTTTGTGTTTTGAGCATATTAAAGATTGGAAATTGGTTTTATTTAAATTATGATTAAATTTGAAATTTTGGTGGAGCTTGGGAAATACTAATGGAGTTTTGCATACCTTGCAACGTGTCCTATTTGATTACAATTTTGATAGTTTTTCTAACTCCAAACTTTGTAAAAATTTGCCATGTTATATTATATAATGGATTGTGTACACTATCTTTATTGATTCAACTAGCCTATATTTTGTTATATGAAAACCACTTTCTCTAGTGTTTAATCTTGCAATTTTGAGTGTTTGCCCAAGTGGGAGAAATAATGTATTATGGGCTTCACACTCATCAATTTTGCATGTTTTTAATGATCATAGTTTTGATAGATAAAACGTACATTATCATACTTGTTTATATTTTATTTGTTACATATGCAACTAATCTTGTAGGAAATTCAAGAAGGGTTAATGAGTATATTCTGCTCAAAGGTGTTTTACTTATTAATTCTTATATGTTGTTCAAGAAATTGGACTTGTGATTTATATGTTATTGATGAATAATTAATCTGCTCAAAAGTGTTTTCTTATTCAGTACAAATATAAATCAATGTATAGTGAAACATGAAATTGACAAGATTGCATATACTTCATCTGCTCAAAAGTGTTGAAGCTATATACGTTTGCCCTTGTATTTTGTGTTTTAGCTATGCAAACCTAATATAATTAGTTTCTGTCCAAAGATGATTCTGGAATTATATGCTTTTGATGCAATAAGAAAACATTCAGTTAAAGTTTTCTATTTCTGTCAATTGTTAGATGAACAAAACTGACCAAATAATTTTGTATAGTTTTTCAGTCATGAGAATCATTTCCCTACAGATATCTAAAATAAAGATGTTGAGCTCACAAATTTTATGTTCTAGATCCCATGACTAATGTTTTGCTAATGGGAGTATGTGAAAGGTATCTGTTTCGTTTTATAGACATTTATAAAGTTTATTTTTCTTTTACTCTTTTAATCAGTGGGAGTAAAGATTACCTTTTGTATTGAAAATTTGAAGTCTTAGTGGCTGATACTTTAAGAGTAAATTTGGTTTAAAATTTGTTCATAAGTTTTAATAAGGGATCCTGATTTTGTAAACAGTATGTCGTATTTTACTTGTTCTCTTATTATATTCTAAAATGACAGAAAAGTTGGATTTTGTTACCAACGTTGTTGAGTTCTTTTGTGAACTACTTTTGTACTGAAATATATTTTTCATATTTTCAGTTCGACTATTGTGAGCTAATGTTTTAACTATTAGCTCTTGATATCATGACTTTGTTAGTAACATAGTGCTTTGAGTTGAGTGTGCATGTAATCATGGAGTGCAAGAAACTGTCCAATATGTGCCTTGTTTTCCTTGGTTCTGCACTTAGTCTCAAAGTGACAAGTTACTTGAAAGGTATGATTGCATACTTTAGTGACTCAAGTGATCACCATATATATTTATCTCGTTAAGGTATTCTCATTGACATTCAAGTGGGAGAATGTAAAACCATTTTGTGAATGACAATGATTATGCCGAGAATAATTGAGGGAATATTGACTTGGCAATCAAGTTAATGAAATCTCTAGGACTCTCGGTGCCTTAAGGAAATAAACATATTAGAGTCCTAATTACATGCAATCAATTAAGGACCTTTATTAAGTAAATACAAGGAATAAGAATCATGATGGGACTATAATTGATGAGATATGATTTGGGTTGATATCCTTTCCGATAATAGGGAGGAATTGATTGAAACCATAACTATATAACCTAGGAGCAGTCCCTGCTTCCATACCGATAGAAACTCACGGAAACTATAAACCTATTTCGATAGTAGAGTTCATTGAGAGGTACTGGAAGTAGAAGACTACTTCTACTTTGTTCGTAAGGATCAATGGCTTCACCTTTATAACCATGTCTTCCGAATTCTACAGATAAGTTCAATATAATTAATCGATCTCTATTTCATATTGATTTGATTTATTCGTGATCCTAATATCTTGTTGTTGTGATTTCAGAATATGTCTTACATGCACCATATTGGAAATACTCAAAATCCCTATGAACAAGTGATCTCAATTACCGGAAAGTCATGGAAGCATTTGAACAACGAAAAGAAAGAGGCCATGACATCACTCAACAAACGTTGATGTCCAAAATCTTGGAAGTCATGGACGCCTTTGGAATGGTAATGTACAAGACCCCATCTTTAACCTCAGCCTTAATCTTCTCAAACTGAATATTCTCCGGCAACGCTATTCTACTGCTGTACCTCCCATAGCTCTTGGCTGACCACTCCTCCCCGTTTTCTTCCACCACCGCCCCATTTTCCGTCTTCTTGACCGCCTTCTCGGCCTTCACAACCAGCATTTTCTCCTCCACCCACACCTTCACGTCCTCTTTTGTCATCCCGGGCATGTCGAATCTCACCTTGTAAGCATCCTCACCTTCTTTGATCTCCCACGGCGTCCTTCCCCTGCTGTACCCGCCCGTCTCGCTCGGGACTGGCGTCCTGTACCCGCCGGAGTAGGCAAACGGGTCGTCCATCAGACCCTCCATCGTCTCCATCATCTGCTGCACCGTCTTGGCCGTTGGAAACCGGTCCCACAACCCTGCCAAATTTCAATTTTGTTTCTTAAACTATTCAATTCTAGGACATGTTTGAGACCGTGTTTCTGAAAGAGTAAAAGGGTGGGTCACCAAAAAGAATTTGACTCAAGTTCCCTGACAGACACTTTCAACGCGTTTCCAATGAAAACACTACTAGCAGAAGCGCTTACGAACAACCAAAGCAGTCCTAAAGCTTCAAAGTTAAAACTTTTTAGTGGGAATTCGAACTTACCGATGGGCGGCGCTGGGGCAGCTCTCTTTCTAGGCTGGGCCTGCTGTTGTTGGAGCTTGGTGGCCCTCTGCATGTGGTCAAGGTTGTCTCTTGCATCGCCTGCCATGGCCTTAAGGCTGTTCTTACTACTGTGGCTAAAACATCCGCCACCATTAATTGGTTTTGAGAAAACAGGGTATCGCACATTTCTGGTTTTCACAGATGACAGTGGGAAAAAGGGGCTGACATTGGATACGGCCTGAGACATTTTGGTACTCTCAAATGTTGGGTTTCGTTTATTGGTCAGTAATTAATGGAGTTGTGGGGATCTGTTTGGTAGGTAAGAAATCTAGATAAGAAAGTGAAGTGAATGAAATAAAACTTGAGGAGAGCATCCAGGTTTTCCAATATTTAAAGGAAAGTGTAGACATTTCTGGAACAAGATGGAAGGAGGAAGACACATTCAGAAGCAGACAGTTCTGGAGAAGTCCAGAAATGTTCCTGGATAAGGAAAAATCTGAGAGAGACTCGGTGGCGAATAAGAAACGGCATCGTTTGGAAAATTGGCATTTTGGCATTTACTGGTTTACATTTTTAAACTTACAGTACTCGTGGAATCTCGTCTAATCAAAATGAAAGGAATTGAATTGATAATGAATTAGATTAAACGGGAATTGAAATAGGGTGAAGTCATAATCAGATTTCTATTAAAATTGTTTACTAAAATTTCTTGAAATCGGAGTAGAAACCATATTTATTTATATAAGTTTTTTACTTAAATACATGAATCGGAGTGAAAACTAATGTAATTACTAAATTATTCATATTCCAAGTATATAGTTTTTTATATTTTTTATAAATTTTTTTTTTTTAAAAAAAAACTTTGAGAAAAATGCTTTACAAAGAATTTGTACAATTTATCAATTTTTTTTTTTGAAATGTCAAAAAGACATTTGTGTAGTTGATATTAAAAAAACCAAGTGAGAGCCCTCCTTGCTCGCTTCTCCATCCCTCAATTATTTTTCTTTCTCCTGAAAGCCCAAATTGCACCCCATCGCCCAATTCTTTTCGGCCATCCCCCAACTCTTTTCAGTCTCCCATTCTTCTTCTTGCTTCCTTATGATTCTTCTTCTTGTTCTCTTCTGATTCTTCTTCCCCATCCGCCAATTGTTTTTTCTTTCTCGTGAAGACCACACTGCATCCCATTCCTCAATTCTTTTCAGCTTCTCCATCTCTTTTCTCCATCTTCTTCTTCTTCTTTCCCTCTGATTTTCTTCTCCTTTGATATTGGTCATTGCCCGTGCCCGCAGAGACAAAGAAGCAGAGAAAGAGGTGGAAGGGAGACGAGGTAAGGGTATTTTGGGTAGAAAAAAGGGATTCCAGATATAAACTTTCTCCCGGAATTCAAATCACATCTATTGTTCGGGAGATTGATGCCGGGTATGTTGGGAGTCTGATTCCCCATATTAGATGGGTCCCACATGCATTTCATTCCCTCAAGTACCAACACTTGAATAACCTGGGAGGAGTGCAATTCACATGGATAAGGATTTTCTGCCGTCCCATGCCCTTCTGTTTGTGTGGTCACGATTAAGCCACGTCAACATTTTATATTACTTTTCATTTTTGTCTTATTATCTTTATAAAAAAACAATATAAAATATTGACGTGGCTTAACTGTGACCACACAAAACAGGAGGGCACGAGAGAGCACCGAAAGTGGGAGTGCAAACAATCCTTGTCCTTCCTATTGTCCCCACTCCCCTTAGTAAATGCACCATAAGATAAATGACTTGTCGTAATGAATAGAAGCAAGCTTTGCATGCCAAAGGAAAGGAAGAGACTAAAATCTAGGGTGGTGCTATCAACACATTTATTTTACTTTTCATATACTTTTTGTTAATTTTTGGTATTGATCTTCTTCTTCAATTCGTTCAATTCGACGGTTAAAAAAACGTGTGTGTGAAGTAAAAATGAATGTGTATTCCACTCTAAAAGAAAAGTGTTAAAACAAATTTCCCAACAAAAATTCTATATCATTTATATTGTTAACTGGATCCCATTGTTGATCACATTGTCAAACACTGCTTGAGTACACGTAACTATGTAAGTATCACGCATATCAATGGATCTCTATTTTGATAAGTGATTAGTAAATGTGATACAAATAATATTATCATTTTAAACCAACATTTACATGAAAGTATGAACATATATACTTGCATCCATTGCATGGGAAAGGTCTTCCCCTTGCGATTAGCGTGGTTTCATTGCACAAATTTTATAATCATAATCGTTCATTTTCGTAATCATTATTTAAAGTCATATTTACAACAACAAACAATCAATCAAACCACAAAACATTTAGTTATCTCTACATAACAAAATAATGAACCGTTTACATGGTACCAAAATTTTTCAGTAAATGTAAATGATCAAACAATATATAGTTTGATTTACAGTCTGTTACAGTAAAGTGCCATTTTACTCATTAGTTCGATTCATTTTTCGTACGACTCCAGTACTATCTACGATTGAAGAAAAAGATGCAAACTTTATCCACATTAGTTAATAACTTAAAGTGTTAAATTCTCTAAATAATTGAAATTTTACTAAGTGTTTGCGAAAATAAAATAAAAGGGTCGACGCAACATGCAGAGGATCCATGGCTCAAACTTTCTGCAAACAAAGGATCCGTGGCTCAAACTCTCTCCATCATTAACAAAAAGAGGAACTTTTATTTGGTCAATCGACTAAAAAGGAAATAGACGTTGGAAATAAAGTTTTAATTTTCCAATTAATGGGTCCCATATCACACTCCAGTATATGAACGTTGAGGCCCTTGATCCATTTTAACGAATAAATAATAAATAAATTTCCAAGAATAAAAAAAAAAAAGGAGAGACATCTCCATCTCCATCTCCATCTAAGAAAATCATCAAGGAAACTAGAAACCCAAGCTTTAAAGGCAAACAAAACCCCACGCTCCCCTTCTCTCTCTCTCTCTAAAAAAGCTTCTTTTTCTGCACATTTTTTGGGGGTAAAAATTGTAAAACCAAACATGGAATGGACCCAATAAGGCGCCTTTCTTGAATTGCAATTCACAATTCAAATTTCTAGCCATATAAACGACCCCAATTGGAAGGATTTTCCCAGAGAAAGCAAGAACACTGAAATGGGTGAATCGGCCTGCCTGATGAGCTCATCATCCGACCCTTCTGAGTGTTCCCCTGAAGTCAAAGAGGTCAGTCGTCCTTCTGCAGATTTTCCCATTTCTTTGACTCTTGAAGTTTTTCGATTCATGGGTTTTTCTTGTTTTCTCGAAAGCTTTAATGGGTCTTGATCCGATTGGCTTGTTTTAATCGCATAGTGGTTTGTTTGGCTGCTGAGAAATAGTGGGAAAATGAGAACTTTGGTTAATGTGGTGTGGATTAAGATGGTTTTGTTAGAGCTATTCCTTTTGTTATTTTTAGGGGATAAAGTGCGCGTAGTGTTGTAGTAGGCGGTTTTCCAATGGATGTCTTCAGTTCTTGGTTCGTTTGGTTTGTTCCTAATCTTGCGTTATTATAGTGAGAGAGAGGAGAGGGAGTGAGAGAGAGGAGAGAGAGAGAGAGAGAGAGAGAGAGAGAGAGAGAGAGAGAGAGAGAGAGAGAGAGAGAGAGAGAGAGAGACTTTTAACCAGTTTCGTTTTCATGTTAAAGTTCTTTAGCTTGTGCATCACATTCTTTTGGGATTACATTAACGCAGTGAGCTTATTCATGGTGGTTTAAATGATATGGGTATCTCTCTAGTTTCTTGTTGGAATTATTGAATTTTGTGTTTGGATGGACTTGTATGATTTGGTTACATTTTTACGAGTCGGATTTTGGAATTCACTGAGGAAATTGTGATGTGCTTTGCATTGCAGGGCGACCCCCTTCACTGCCTAGGAGAATCGATCTCCTTCGGTAGGTATATGTCAGAACCTCTTGCTTGGGAGAAATGGTCAGCATTTTCCCACAATCGATACTTAGAAGAAGTCGAGAAGTTCTCCAAGCCCGGCTCTGTTGCTCTGAAGAAGGCTTATTTTGAAGCTCATTACAAGAAAAAAGCTGCCGAGAAAGCAGCAGCCTTGCTTGAGGTGACAAATGCTGATGCCTGTAATGTTACAGCATCATCGGTAACTGTGTACGGAAATTGTGAGAGCTCCTCCGTGGACATAGAACCGGCAAATGGAGGGAGCCAGATGGTTGTTGATAAAGAACAGGAAAATGTTGCTCCATATTCTGAGGTAGAAGTATACTCAGCTGATGTGAATAGCCATAATCAAAATGTTGAAGGGAATCAATTGGATATCACCAAGGTGGACGGATCAGAAGCGATGATTGAAGAAAGTGTTAATTTGGAAAATCCTATTCACGTTGAAATATCAAACCAGTTTAAAAATGGCAAAGACCAAAATGAGATTGTTGCCACCCTAGAAGAGAAGATGCCAGAGACGGTAAATTGTTGGGCTCTGTCCTGTTTTTAAGTAAGTTGCAATTGCTTGACCACTTTTTCTCACCACACTAACTGTTGTCATCTCACAGATCCTCCAGGAAGCTTCCGGTGAGGAGAATCTTGCTTCAATGAGCAAGAAAAGATTGATGAACTCTTCCCCAAGGTTATCCACTAAAGGTAGAGCACCCAAGGTGCCACCGTCTCCTGCCAAACAAGCAATTCGTGTGCAAACCATAAACGGGAAAAATGCCACTCAAATGGGTAAGAAGGTTTCATCAGACTTAGTTGACAAGAGGAGTTTGACTGCAAAATCTCTCCACATGTCAATGCACTTCACTTCTCATGTGGGCGAAAATGAAACCAGTAAAAGAACTTCACCAGTTGTTGAGAAGACCAGAAATTCGAGAAGTAAAATGACTAAACTTAATATCTCCATAAATGATCCGGCTTCTCATCGACGAACTGCTATTAGGGTACGAATTCTTACCATTTAATCTTATTATTTATTCTTCATTCATATGATTTGTGTCTAATGTGACACCTAGTTTTATTTGCCAACTTCAGGCATCTGTTGGCGGGGTATTAATGCAGTCTTCAGTAGAACCATGGTCCAAAGATAGAAGGTATTCTGCTTTCTTCTCATATGTTCGCTAATGTCTCAGAGTCTCAGTCCATTACATACTCCCTTACGATTTGTGCTATTTATCATGCATTGAGTACTTTAACTTATGCGATCGATTATATTGCTTCTAGGGCAAAAACATTACTGAATAAGTCAGTAGCTGGACCAATTGGAGATGGGAAATGGATATCCTCCTCAAAAGAGTAAGGACTTTGCTACTGACATGGCTATATGTTTTATTTATTTTCATTTTATTTTTCAGGAACTAATAACTCTTTTTCTGTTATTTTTTTTAATTACTTAACAAACTCTATGAACTTGTATTCGTATAATGTTCTAGATTATTGGACTAAAATGGTTATTGGACTAGATTTAAAAGGAACTACCAATGCTTTCATAACTTATGGCTATGGATTATTCTAAATAACTGATTGTTTGGCAGCCAATCTTCTACTGCAAACGGAAGTAAACCACGACCCCCTATTGTATCATGTCCTTTTAGATTGAAGAGTGAAGAAAGAGCAGAAAAGCGTAAAGAGGCAAGACTCGATCGATTATTATATTTTTAGTTCCTTCCTTATCGTACCATGGTTCATTAAGTATTTGTGGGTTTCTTTGCTAAGAGAAATTTCTCTTTCTTTTCCTGCACCAGTTCTATCAGAGGCTGGAAGAGAAGAAAATTGCCAAGGAGGCTGAACATAAGCTGTTGCAACTGAGATCTAATAAAAGGGTTAGTTTCTTATGAAAAATCTTGGTATTTTTGACACAATAACTTTCCTTTGATCTTATGCATTTAGATAAGGGGTTTCTTCTCATTCGAGTTTTGCTATCAGAGCAAGTCGCATAAAACATGTGTGACAGGGCAATGCGAGTTGAATCCTGTAATATTCTGTACCCGTGTATCATTATCAAACATTTATAAGTATACTTAAAAGAAAGAAAATGTTATGCAGGAAAAAGCAGTGGGTGATGTTAATAAACTGCACCAGAGCACTGCCTTAAAGCAAAACGAAACCAAGTTCTCTCCTCGGGACCACAATTGCCAAGTAATCACTTGAACAAGGTACACACATTTTCTTCCGAACTTTGTATATGTATTAGAGCATGCACTGAATGCTTTCAGTAGTCTTGTCTTTGGAAAGTTTCTACTGCAATTTTAGTTTCTGAGGCAATGAAGACTGCTACTCTCCCCTCGGAACCTTTTCCATTTTATCCCTCTAAATGTTTTCTTTTTTATGAATGGTGGACACAAATGTCTTGCAGATTCCTCCGTCACAGTCTCGGTCACCCAAACTTGGGAGGCACTCTACCGTCAGCAAAATTCTGGACTCAAGCTCTCGACCTTTTGTCAATTCTCACAGCTCCAAGTGTGTCACACAAAAATACAATTTGAGCACAAATCGAATGGTGCCTTCTCTTTCAAAAAAGAATGCTCACGAGAATTCTCCTCCCAATATCCAGAGTTGAGGGTGTCTAGCTTAGGGATATGCATGGAGATTGATTGACTCAGCAGGTTGACACCCTCTGATCGAAAAGAAAAAGAAAAGTCCGGTTACCACCCAGAAGGGCCACAACTACTTTCTGTAATACAAAATATGGGGAAAGAAAATTAACATGCGAGGATAGTATGGTTTTCTTTCGGGGAACGGGGGCATTTTGTTGAGGTCTTTCTGTTAGAAGTGAAATTTTGTAGGGTTTATCTTTCATTTCTACGGTGCTTCTTTTGTTCTTTTGGGTGACTGTAAATAGATCAATATACAAAAGTTAGGAATGATTACATATTTTGGTTGCTCCATGTACACAGCTTCTTCTTTCTTCTCCTTTTCGAATTATTTCTCGATATTTTTTCCATTTTGTTCATTAAATTTCTCGTTTCATAACTTGCGTGGAGAGAACGATGAGTTTTATGCAGAGGTACAGACTTAACAAAAAACCATTCTGGCATGGATTCTCCACATGCGTATAGATACAAGAAATCTAGTGCACATCTCATCAAATTTAAAGAAGAAAGCTTATTATGCTATGGTTTTCCATCACTCGTGATACACATCTCGACATTCAATCCAAACCGGTCAGAGATATAACAGATATTCAACTTATACTGGCTTATCAAAACGGAAATAGCAACGGATCATTCTTCGTTGAAGTTGCGCAAAGGAACAGTGCCGTGCAGGGGCAGTTCATGATATGAATAGACCTTGACCTATGACAGAATATTCTGATGGCTCATATGGATAATCAAATCTCAATGCATCATACAAGTGAGCGGGAACTTCAGAAACAAGTGCAGGATCATTGTACTCCGGGAACTCTATATTTTGAAGTCCGAGATTCATGCCATAGCAATCACCTTGATACCAACAAATTTGAAAGCCGTCATCCAAAGAACCAAAAGGTGATGCACTTTCCACGATTAGGTTTCTTTGGGCGGATTCCAAATCAGTAATGCAGTTCAAGTTGAAGCCCTGGTACTCCATGTTTGCTGTACTAGTGGAAACGGCCTCAGAAACTTGATGGTTTACCACACAGCTCTTGATTTGATCAGGAAAGGAGTCTGCCGTGCTTATTGTTGGACTTACATGGCTACCCTGAATATTTATGTACTCAGAATATGAAGGCTTACTCTTAGCAGGGCCAGTTACATCTTCCTCCGCGATAGAAGGTCTTGAACTACTGGAAGGAATTGATTGTACTCGATCAACTTGGAAATGGCTGTGTGGACCGGGCAGTGGTGGCTTGTTGAATCCACTATTTAACGGAATAAGTGGCTTCTGCTTTTTATTCAATTGAATTTCATTCCTAGAATACTTTGTTGGAATAGCGGATTCAAATTCTGTGAAGTTTACTTCAGATTCCACCGATGCAAGTGAATGACTGGGACGCACCTGCGGAGTCCTAATCTTCTGAGAATCAGGAACATTGCCAATCAAACCCTTTTTGGTTTCCGCGTAAGAATTATTGAAGTCCATCTGTGGACTCCTGGTCTTCTGAGAATCAGGAATGTTTCCGTTCGAACCTTTCTTAGGTTCTGCCACAGGCTCTGAAACAATCCCTTCTATGTCACTCTCGTGGCTCTTCGTACCCACTCTCTGGGAAACTAAGCTATTGCCAGAAACTTTGAAGCTGCCATGTGCAACATCACTTTGTTGAATGCTGATCGAGTTCTGAAGGCCAAAACTTCCGTGAGCATCTTTTGAGGAATAATCGGAATGCTTCATCCCCCCACAAGAAGATTTAAGTTCATTCTCTTTTTGCAGCCTACTCAAGTAGAGCCGGTACTTCTGCACATGAACTTTTTCAGTGAGAATAATCATGCCATGTAACCATATTATCTATTACACTTCAGCTTTTATTAGCCATTTTGTTACAGGAGAGACTGAGTTCAATTACTTCAGTGATAAGCATTATGAACTATAATTCCTCGTACATGTGTCAGTAAATTTGACAAATCCGACTGAGATCAAGGAAATGGGAGCAATTTATGTTGTCACTATACTTGTGTGTGTGTATACATATTATATACATATATGCATGTAATATATATATATATATATATATATATATATATATATCATACATTATTGCGTAAGGAAATTATCGATTGCCAGGTATGTTACCGTAATGAAAGTATTGCGGTGTACAAATCCCACTACATAAAAGTTTCCGATGTTATCAGGAAAAGTACTTAAAGGTGAGGTATTTACCTGCAAGTGGCTAGCGACATTTTCTCTTGTCAACCAAGGCACGTTCATCAGGTCAAGTATTTTCTTCGGACCAACTTCTGCCAAACAGACATTACACATCATCGCTCTGTAGAAACATAATAAAGTTGGTGGCGATATTATTGAAAAGGAACACAAAATGTATTCAGACTTATAGTTCATGATGCTGATCCAAAAACCTAGCTTCATAAGCAAGAAATTTACATACTGTCAAATCCAATCTGATGTACTGCTTTTACAAATTTCTGATGAAGATCTACAGACCAAACAACTCTAGCCTTTTTGTAGATGATAAATCAGCAAAGTCTTTGTCATCGTATTTGTTATCGACATCCTTTCTTTTTCTCGATGAAGTGAGGTCATCTGCGCTAAGAAAGTAGCCCTCATCATACTGATCTGATCCACTTCTTATAAACTGAATACCCTCGAAGCTTTCATGACTCTCAATGTCTCTTATCTCATGTATCTTCTTTCTAAAGACATGCTGCCATATATTGCGCAGTTCTTTCATTCTTATCGGCTTAAGAAGATAATCACATGCTCCATGTTGAACTCCTTTCATAACCCTACTCGTTTCTCCATCAACAGACATCACTGCACAGGTAAAACGGATATGATATGTCAGAATTAAGTGGTGACAGACGTTTTTCTTTTGAAGACAAAGCTTTATTGGTCAACGGCAGAGTACTGACTAATAACTGGAAGATCCATCTCAAGTCCTACATGCTCAAGAAGTCTAAAACCATCCATGTCAGGCATGTTCACATCACTGATAACAATGTCATATCCATCTTTCTTTTGGCGAAGCAAGTGCAAAGCATCTCTTGCCAAACCACATGTAGTCACTGAAACACAGACAAAAAAGGGAGGAAAAAACTTCAGAAATAATGAAAATTAATGGATGCTGTTATCATTCGACAGCTGATTATATTATCATACTGGCCAAAGCATCGTGTCTGACAGTCGGACAAAAATAAAATCCTGTAAGACAAACGGATTTCCTTTTCTATATGAATAATGGAAGACTTCTATACTTGTTTAGATCATATACAAGTAATCATGCATGAGAATATCCCCCAACATAACCAAAGTAACTACTTCAGTTCCCCATATGAAGTACCACGAAAATTTATTGAGCAAGGATCATAAAACCTGAAATCCAAGCATGACAGCAAGATTGGGACAGTATTTAACTGCAGCAAGTTGTCCATACAACTGATCAGAGTAATAATTCTATAAGTACACTACCAGAGGCACCAAAGAATACTCCAGTTATCTGAAATCAATCACCTTTACGTGTTTATATTCGATACAGAATAAAGTATTTGCCATTTGATTAAACTAACTAATTAACGGAAACACATTATCATTATCCTCCTGCATAGCAGCCTGTAAAGACAATCAAATACTCTATCTCAAGTAAACCCTGATCATTCTGCTTATCCGTTTACTTAAATCGAAAAATCGATAACTAAACTGCTGCTTCTGGGAAGATTAAAAATCCTTGCTTTCAACAAACACAGTGATTAAATTACCAAATATGATCAAAATTCCACTAATAAGTAAGAACCCACCAAAATTAACCCACAACTCAAAAAATCCATCTCCAAAAACACCAAAACATTCAGGAAAACTATAAATTTCCAGAAAATAGAGAAGAAAAAAACAACAAAGTTGGAACTTTAAAGAGTGATCGAAACAGAGGAACAGTGAGAAAACTGAGATAGCGTGAAATAACCTTCGTAGGAGCACTTCTTGAGCATCTTTTCTAAGATCTTAAGCCAAGTGGGATCGTCGTCGACGACGAGGACCCGGAGGCCAGCAGGAAAAGTATCGTTTCGGGGAGAAGAGAAGCTACTCTCCATTGGGAAAAAGTTAAAGGAAGGAGGAAGAGTTAAGATTGAAGTGGGAGGGGTAGCGTGGGGACTTACAGCTCGAATGAGATTATATAGCTTCGGAGTGTCTCCAAAATTTTAAAAAATGGCTTCTTTGGATTTTTTGACGAGAGGGAACCAACGAATATTTGGCGCCGGATAACTTAACGGTCAGGGTGGTTCACGTTAGTTTCTCTCACTTTTTTGGATTAGGACAGTTGATACAAGTCAGAGTAAATATCATATTTTTGTATCATATTTTTATAGGAAAACTAATGAAAAGGGTTTGAAAACTTTTGAGTTTTAATGATAAGGACAAAATAAAGGGTAAAGTGAATAGTACCATAATTGACTTTTTAGTGTAAAAATGTGGTTTTTCGTTAAAGTGAACAGTACCAGGTACTTTTCGTTATAGTTCCCTATTTTTATAGCAGGTGGCATTTGATGTGGACAGCTACATAATTTGAATTAATCAGATTTTTAAATTTAGTTCATTATTTAATAAACTAATAATTAAGAAAAACTAGTTAATTAAATGATGATTGTGGTATACGAAGAGTCTTTCTCTTTCTTTTCCTTGGGTTTTGCAAATTTTTCAAATGATGTGGCTATTCGCATCAAATGCCACCTAAAGTGATATAGAAATGTGGTATAAAAACATAGTATGAATAGCATTACTCTATAATTTACAATTTTTTAACCCAATATTAAGAATACTCGAATTTATTAAAATAAGTCTAATTCTTTAACTTTAGGCCTTATTTTATTGGGAACTTTAACAAAAAGCTTTCGGTATTATTCATTTTAACGAAAAATCACATTTTTACCCTAAAAAGACAATCATGGTACTATTCATTTTATCCTTTATTTTGTCCCTATCATTAAAACTCAAAGTTTTCAAGTCTTTTTTATTAGAGCAACTCCAGCGGATGCTGGTTGCTCAGGCGACAGGGGAGGAGAAAGGGCCTGAGGGCCGATGGGAGCAGCTCCAGCGGGGAAGGGCCCGAGTGAGGGTGGGAGCCCGAGCGAAGGGGGGTGGGGAGTCGACGGGCATGTGGCCCGAGGGCTTTGCAATTTTTTATTTTTTTTGTGTCAAAGAGAGAGAGAGAGAGAGAGAGAGGGTTTTTTATTATTTAAACAAACAAAAAAAACTATTATTTTAATTGCTTATTGCCAGGGGGAAGGGTTCCAAAGGTGGAGATG